CCTTGCTCAGCTCATGTTATGTTTGCACTTCAGGCAATATTCAGAGAAGTCGGAAAAAATTACCCAGCAGGGAATCATCCATAATAATATGCCATTTAACAGACGCTTTTATCCAAAGCGACTTACAGTCATGCGTGCATACATTTTTTTTGTGTACGGGTGGTCCCGGGGATCGAACCCACTACCTTGACGTTAAAAGCGCCGTGCTCTACCAGCTGAGCTACAGAGGACCATCAAGCTCACAAGGACAGGACATACACTCAACTGAGCCAAGTTTGTACACATTATCTTACTACAGAATGCTACTAGCTGAGAATCTAATTGCAGAACGTTCAATTTTTTTTAAATTCCTTTTCCTGTAAGCATTACGTAACGTTCCACATACGGGTTGCAAAATTACGTTAACTTTGCCAAAATTCCCAGGTTTCAAGAAATCCTTGTTTGGAAGCGTCTATAAAGGGATGAAGTGGCACTAGGAACTCCACAATCATATGAAACAAAGCCATTCTTCAGTAAAAAGGCCCTCTAACATCTGCCTGAACAGCCCCAGATGTACCAAGTCAACCAACTTGAAGGACTTTATCATTCTGTTTTAAGACATCATAATATTGTAGCACCATTGTACATTTTGACATGACAAAGGGGACCGTCTGTATTTAAGTAGAGCTTTTCATTATGTCTCAAAATGCTTTACATCCTACAGGGTGACTCACCCCTTCAGCACCGTAGAGGGAGAGACCGTAGAAGTATCCCGAATGGCACCCTATTCCCTATATATAGTGCACTACTTTTGACCAGTGCCCTATGGGTCCCGCTGTATTGCTCAGGCTGCACTAAAGCGTCTACTCACAGGCGCGATCCCACTACTGAGCGGCACGGGCGCTTTGGCCTGCTCCGTTTTCCGACCTGGGCCGGTGCACCCCAGGTCAGACACCACCAAGTGAATAGGGTACCGGTTGGGACACAACCCTGGGACACAACCCTGGGACACAACCCTGCGCCACTTACGATTATAACTATGTAATGTTATCTCACATGGGAAACTTTAGCTCAGGCTCTGGAGGTGGTTGCTCTGGGAGGCAGGCTGAGTGCCAGGAGGAAGAGCTGAGAGCCAGGCTGATGACTAAGGCAGAGAGCCAGGTGGACAAACGTTACACAGGTAATGGGCCAAGTTCTGGATGTATGTATGAGATCACGTGCTGAAACCATACAGGTTGTCAGTGTGTGTTTCTTGTCATTGTCATAACTGTAAGTGGCTCTGGATAAGAGCGTCTGCTAAATGACTAAAATGTAAAATGTAAAATGTGGGGCTCTTAAATTAACGACAGACTCATAAGGCCAGTTTCCCGGACACAGATTATGCCTAGACCCGGACTAAAAAGCCTTCTCAATGGAGAATTTCCATTGAAATAGTTTCTTAGTCCAGGATTAGACTTAATCTATGTCCGGGAAACTGGCCCATAGACATTCACTGATGCTAGTTGGTGCATTGCATAATGTAATGAAATGAAATATTGATACACAGATCATTATCTATCGACATCACTCTCATCAGTATTCCAGCAGACTGACACACAACTGTCATTGGTCAGTGGTGCTTCCAGCAGACTGACACACAACTGTCATTGGTCAGTGGTGCTTCCAGCAGACTGACACAACTGTCATTGGTCAGTGGTGCTTCCAGCAGACTGACACACAACTGTCATTGGTCAGTGGTGCTTCCAGCAGACTGACACAACTGTCATTGGTCAGTGGTGCTTCCAGCAGACTGACACACAACTGTCATTGGTCAGTGGTGCTTCCAGCAGACTGACACACAACTGTCATTGGTCAGTGGTGCTTCCAGCAGACTGACACACAACTGCTGTCATTGGTCAGTGGTGCTTCCAGCAGACTGACACACATACTGTTCCGATGAAGACTGCGTGGTGTTGTGTTGTGTTGTGTCCATCAGACTGACCAAAGGTGGCCTTCTCAGCGTCACTAGGACTCGATTACACACACACATTACACACACACACATTACACACCACACTACACACACACACACATTACACACACACACACAGACACCACACACACAGGACACACACACACACACAGGACACACACACACACTAACACACACACACAGACACACACACACACAGGGGACACACACACACATTACACACACACACACACATTACACACACACACACACAGGGACACACACACACACATCACACACACACACACAGACACTTCAAACCGAAACACCTGTCTACAAAACAACCAACACTACCCTACAACCCAACAAACCACCTTAACGAACACAATAGAAACTTCAAGTACGAAATGACCTCATTATAAATTTACTTATCAACTCAAACCAATCGGACCAAGCCTAATAATAAGTTGTTTCAAGACGTCAAACTGGTAGCAAAATCATAATGGTCAGCAAATGTAATCCCATGAATATCCCAATAGTATGCCAATAGTATGCCAATAATGGTAGTATTGGTAGATTTGGTTACTTATATTAGTCGTTCAATGATATGCCGTTATATATATGTCGTTATTCATGTTGATGTCATTGTAAATAATTGTCTGTTGCTCTTCTCTAATGATGCATGTTTTTTTTTTTTATCCTGTTTCATTATCACTTAACCATCTACTACCAGGAGTCTATCACTTAACCATCTACTACCAGGAGTCTATCACTTAACCATCTACTACCAGGAGTCTATCACTTAACCCTCTACTACCAGGAGTCTATCACTTAACCCTCTACTACCAGGAGTCTATCACTTAACCCTCTACTACCAGGAGTCTATCACTTAACCCTCTACTACCAGGAGTCTATCACTTAACCCTCTACTACCAGGAGTCTATCACTTAACCTCTACTACCAGGAGTCTATCACTTAACCCTCTACTACCAGGAGTCTATCACTTAACCATCTACTACCAGGAGTCTATCACTTAACCCTCTACTACCAGGAGTCTATCACTTAACCATCTACTACCAGGAGTCTATCACTTAACCATCTACTACCAGGAGTCTATCACTTAACCCTCTACTACCAGGAGTCTATCACTTAACCATCTACTACCAGGAGTCTATCACTTAACCATCTACTACCAGGAGTCTATCACTTAACCATCTACTACCAGGAGTCTATCACTTAACCATCTACTACCAGGAGTCTATCACTTAACCATCTACTACCAGGAGTCTATCACTTAACCCTCTACTACCAGGAGTCTATCACTTAACCATCTACTACCAGGAGTCTATCACCCTCTACTACCAGGAGTCTATCACTTAACCATCTACTACCAGGAGTCTATCACTTAACCATCTACTACCAGGAGTCTATCACCCTCTACTACCAGGAGTCTATCACTTAACCTATCTACTACCAGGAGTCACATAAACTTGATTGATGGCATCAAATGAAGAATACATTGATCATTGTCAAACTTCTCTGTTCTTCATCTTTCATTGAATATTTGTGTTTACTGACACAGTCTATTGAGAAGCATGAGCTGGCGTACCCTCAAAACAGTTAGTAGAGGTGCTGACTAACTAACAGTGAGTAAACTGTAGGCTAGAACAATAGAGTTGCTCCCAGTCAGTTATTGGGAAACCACCACCGGTTTGGGCATCACCGTGTCATCTTCAGGGTGATGTCATGAACGCTTGAACCAGGCTATGTAGACGAACTGTGCAATTAGTTCAACCAATGACAATAGAGAGGGGTGTGTCATCGTAAATGGGGCGGACACAACCACGCTGCAAACACTGCGACAGTAGCACCCTCATGCAAATAGATCAAGAATGAAAGTCGTAACGTAGTTTGACAAATATAATGTATTTGGGGGGGTACAAAAGTCATACATAAGTCATTGAGAGATATTGCTCAGCTGTAAATAATGATTGTTTAGTTTTCACAGCTGCTAAACGAACAGCGCAATATTCATATAGAAAAATAGAACTGGACAGACTGACTGAGATGTAAAAATGCAAAATCACATCGAGTGATTAGAACAACACAGAGCATTTCATAATAATATATGTCGTTTATATATAAAACGGTATAAAATAAGCACATTGAAAGACAGACATTGAAGCAACAAGGCCTTTTTATAACAACAGGAGTGTAAACATTATTTCATATAGTTTATATGTGCTTTTATTTATGACGCCAGCGTCACCACAAGTCGGATCAACCGGATACTGCCATCGTCAAGGCAGAGGATATAAAAAAAAAAAAATCACACAAAAAAAAAAAAAAAAGAATCGCCATTGTAATAGAAAATACAAAACAACTCTATGTTCCAACTTAGTATACACTGAATGCATGTAATGGACATATCAATAATACTATTACACCTGTATATTTAAACATGGTTTACAGAACACTGGCAAACTGCAGAACGCTGGCTGGCTACACCTGTGTGCCTCTACCGTTATACATGTTTAGAATATCACAACAACAACAACAACAACAACCCTTTTGTTTGTCTCAGTGCTGATAAGTGCCGGCAACAAAGCATTAGAATGATTGATCTTAGTGTTTCCTCTTCAACATGATAGTTTCCACTTTCTACCTTCTTCCATCTGTCCTTTATTGTGATGATGGTTGGTTGCAGTAAGTAAACTGTGAGGCACTGACTGGGTTTCAAAAACAAACAACACTTATTATTGATGCTGAGATAACTGGGTTGGGCGCTAGGCTCCTCCCTCTTCCCCCAGAGCCCGCTCAGGTAACATTACCAAGGTGTTACCGAGGCAACGGAACCCTAACAACCCCAGGTCCTTGGGGCAAAGACAGACAAGAGTCTCAACAAGGCTCCAGCTTTGAGCTCAAGACAGTATATATGTGCTTCAACAACAAAAGCGGCAGTTGATTTTAGAATAGTTCAAAATGGCCACCATTCATGATGATGATGACAGTTGTTTTTTGGTGGATTCTATCCTTCCCGCACTTCGGTTTCTGTTTCCCCCTTGTGGTTTCACTTGGAGGCGGTCAGCTTTTCAGCGGCCAGGTGTTCTAGCAAGGGGTTGGCCTCGCTCTCGGGGGTCTTGACGCTGTCAGTGCGGACGATGCAGGTGGGGCGGTGGAGGTTGAGCATGACCATTAGCTGCTGTCTCTCCATCCTCAGCTCCTCGATCTGGGCCTTCAGGTCAGAGTTCACCACTTCCAGACGCTCCGACTCCTACAGGGAGGACAGAGAGGGGAGGCGCTATACTGTTAACGCATTTATTTAGCCTTTATTTAAGAACACTTTATCTTATTTGTATTTTATTTTTGTATAAAAAAAATAAAAAAATCTCCCCAATTGGAAGTTACAGTCTTGTCCCATCGCTGCAACTCCCGTACGGACACGGGAGAGGCGAAGGTCGAGAGCCGTGCGTCCCCCGAAACATAAGCCGCGCTGCCTGCTTAACCCGGAAGCCAGCCGCACCAACGTGTCGGAGGAAACACGCCTGGCGACCGTGTCAGCGTGCACTGCGCCCGGCCCGCCACAGGAGTCTCTAGTGCGCGATGGGACAAGAACATCCCTGCCGGCCAAATCCGCCCCTAACCTTGACGACGCTGGGCCAATTGTGCGCCGCCCCATGGGTCTCCCGGTCGCGGCCGGCTGCGACAGAGCCCGGACTCGAACCAGGATCTCTAGTGGCACATTTGTCCACTGACAAAGACATGATCAGTCTATAATTTTAATGGTAGGTTTATTTGAACAGTGAGAGACAGAATAACAACAACAAAATTCAGAAAAATGCATGTAAGAAATGTTATAAATTGATTTGCATTTTAATGAGGGAAATAAGTATTTGACCCCTCTGCAAAATATGACTTAGTACTTGGTGACAAAACCCTTGTTGGCAATCACAGAGGTCAGACGTTTCTTGTAGTTGGCCACCAGGTATGCACACATCTCAGGAGGGATTTTGTCCCACTCCTCTTTGCAGATCTTCTCCAAGTCATTAAGGTTTCGAGGCTGACGTTTGGCAACTCGAACCTTCAGCTCCCTCCACAGATTTTCTATGGGATTAAGGTCTGGAGACTGGCTAGGCCACTCCAGGACCTTAATGTGCTTCTTCTTGAGCCACTCCTTTGTTGCCTTGGCTGTGTGTTTTGGGTCATTGTCATGCTGGAATACCCATCCACGACCCATTTTCAATGCCCTGGCTGAGGGAAGGAGGTTCTCATCCAAGATTTGACGGTACATGGCCCGTCCATCGTCCCTTTGATGCGGTGAAGTTGTAGACCATTACAATTATAGACTGATCATTTCTTTGTCAGTGGGCAAACATACAAAATCAGCAGGGGATCAAATACTTTTTTTTCCCTCACTGTAGATGCTTCACTAATCATTCATTAGTAATCATACTATCTATTCCATCTTCTACAGCCAATTCGCAAAGAACACCCCAGGTATAAATAAAGAACTCTATCCGCCATTGTGAAAAAGAAAAAAGCGACTGACCCTTTGGAGGAAGTCTGTTCTCTCCTTCTTCTTGTTCCGACATCGTGCTGCTGCCACTTTGTTTTTATCCCTCCTCCGTTTCCTCCTCTCATCATCCTCGTCCATCTGCAGGGAGAAGAGGTGCTGTGATCAGCTAATGGTGACCTTTTCCAAGGCCCGTATGTTATTAAACATAGTCATGACAATCCTGGCTTTCTGTCTTTCCTGTCTGTTTTTACTCCTGTTTTTTTTTCATACTTTCTGTTTTATATGTGACTTTCAGATAACTGTGCCTCTGTTTGATACCTGTGCTTGCCATCTTGGAGGCAAAAGTGAATAGTTGAAGAGAACCCCAGATTGAAATGGTTAAGTTGTGTCACATCTAAACTACTTCTGAAATTGCCCACTTGGTGGAGCTAAAAGTTAGTAGGCTGGTCCAGTTTTCAACAGTCCACCATACATAACAAACAGAACATGGCCTCCAAATGATCAACATTCTCCTCTCCCCCCGTCCCCCCCCTCCCTCCTCTCCCCCTCTCCCCCCTCAGCCCCCCCTCTCCCCCCCTCCCCCCTCCTCCTCCTCCTCACCCTCCCCCCATCCTCCACCCCTCCCCCTCTTCCCACTCCCCCTCCTCACCTCTCCCTTGATAGCAGTGAGGGGCCTCTTCCCCAGCCGTCCCAGGAAATGCAGCGGTGACAACATGGCGCCCAGGTTCCTGAAGTCCTGTGCCAGTTTTAGCTGATCGGTGAGCATGGTGGCAGAGATGTCCTGTGCCAGTTTGAGCTGATCGGTGAGTGTAGTGGCAGAGATGCCCGCCAGTGGGCCCAGGCTGGGCAAGGAGCCGGCCGTCAGGGAGGGGTCAAGGATCTGGCCGGGCATCATGTCACACCCAGCCACCATACACCACAGCTATGAAGGGAGCGAGACAGGGAGAGAGGAAGAGAGGGAGAGAGGAGGAGATGGAGAGAGGAGGAGATGGAGGGGGGGGAGGAGGAGGAGAGGGGAGGAAGGGGGAGGGGGGAGAGGAGAAAAGGGGGAAGGGAGAGGAGGAGGAGAGGGAGGAGGAGGAGTGGGGGAGGGGGGAGAGGGGAGGATTGAGGGGGAGGAGGTTGAGAGGGGGAGGGGGGGGGGGGGAGTGAGGGGGCGTTGAGGTGGGGGATTGGCCTGGCTCCCGGGGGTCTTCTCTGGCACGCCTGCGTGGCGGCTTTATATTGGGGACGGCTTGGGTGGGGGTTTTTTTTTCCTTTGGGCCCCTTTCGGGGGGGCTGGTGTTGGGCGTTGGGGGCTTTTCTGGGTTCTTTCTTTCTCTCTTCGTTCTTCTCTTGGCTTTCCTCTTTTCGTTCCTACTTTCTTTTGTCTCTTTTCTATTTTCCCTTTTCTTCTTCTTCTTGTTTTTCTTTTTTCTTTTGGGCGTTTCTTCCTCTTTCTGTTTTTGCTCTTTCCTTTTCTCTTTTTTCTTTGCGTTTTCCCTTCTTTTTTTCCGTTCGCGTTCTTTCTTTTCTCTTTTTTCGTCTACCTGTCTCTTCTTCTCTTTGCCGCTTGCTCTCTTCTCTTGTTTCCTTCTTTTCTTTCCGCTCATTTTCTTATTTCCCCTTTCTTTCATCTTTTCTCGTTTTTATCTCCTTTTCTTTGATTTCCTTCTTTTCTTCTTCTTCCCCTTCTCTTCCTCTGTCTTGCAGGTCTTCTCTTTCTCCTTTCTGTTCTTATTTTTCTCTCCTGACTTCCTTTTCTTTTTTTTTCCGTTTCCCCTTCCTTTTCACCCTTTTTCCCTTTTCTTCTACCGTTCTCCCCTCCTATTCCTCTTTTTATTTCCTTTTGCTAATTTTTCTAATTTCTTTTTACTTCTGGACTTTCCTTTTCAGAGGAAAGGATGAAGAAAACCCTTTGTAGACCCCAGGCTAATTAAGTTTTATTAAAATAGGTCTTCTAGAAAATTAAATTAAAAAATTTCCAAGTGGTTGGGCCTTTCGGCAATTTGTTTTTAAGGGTTTCCCAAGAAACATTTCCCGGAGCTTTTCCCCATTTGAACCATTTAGGAGGGTTTTCCCTTTTCCCGAAAAATTTTTCTAAGAAGTTCAAGAATTGGGATTTAGCTGAATTCTACCCTGATTTCCCCTCTTTATTTCTCCATTTATGTTGGGCAGACCTCATGATATGCATCCACCCCTTATTTTCCCCAAATTTTTAAATTTACTATAAAGCGGGGATTTCAGGTTTACCAATGGGCTTTAAGAGACAAGGAAAAAAAAGGAGAAGAAAGAAAAGGCTTCGTACAGCCAAAGGAGTGGCAGCAGGTGATACAACTCTAATACCAGACTTTTGCTTGAAATTCCTGATGGCCAAATAGAAAACAAATGTTGCTCAAGGAACAGTGCAAACTGAGCCCTGCTCTCTGTCCATCCCTGCATTCTCAGAGGAACAGATCTGATTTGGGTTTAGGAGGAGAGGGAAAGTACAGGACACCAACTTTATCTGGTGATGAAGTGCGTTCTTTCAGCAAAGACCTGTGTTGTGAGCAGAGTATGTGAGCAGAGCGCAGCGTTCCCAATTTGCTCAGCATGCATTTGTAGTCTGCTTGTGTGCTGCTATAGCCCTTTGCTTTAGCTGCTGTCATGGAGTTCACTAAATATGTTCATAAAGAAACTGATAAAACACACAGGCGCTAAATCAAGGAGACTTACAAAGATGAGGACCAAGAGCAAGAGATGGAGTGAGGTGATGTAGTGTCCACAACTAAACAATCACTGTGGAACCTGAAAATACATAAATTAATAAATAAAAAATTGTATTTCACCTTTATTTAACCAGGTAAGCCAGCTGAGAACAAGTTCTCATTTACAACTGCGACCTGGCCAAGATAAAGCAAAGCAGTGCGATAAAAACAACAACACAGAGTTACATATGGGGTAAATCCTGAAAGCATGTTGGTGTACTTTACTACGTGCACATGCTAACAGTAAGGAACGAGGTGGCTGGCTAGCTATGTGTGTCACGGTAGCAAAATATTTATAAAAACTAAAAATCAGATCTCTTTAAAAGTTTTGTTCATTTTCGTTCTATTACCTAGGCAATAGGCCATCATTGATTTTGACCCAATAAGCCTGGTATATTACCTCTTTCATGGAGCTTTCCGTTTTGATTGGGTTATTTTACCTAAAATCATTTAGGCTTACCTACAAAAAAATAAAATAAAAAAATATGCATCCCTGCCCATCCTGGCAAGAGTGACCCGAAGGGTGTTTAACATCCCCAGTGCCTCTGCATGCTCTGAGAGGGTTTTCTCCGCTGCTGGCCTGCTCTCCAGGCACCATCGCATGAGCCTGAATCCACAGACTGGACAAACTCATGTTTCTAAAAAAATGATTTCAAAAGGCACTGTATGGATGGAGCCTAATAAGGCATTTTACAGTTTAATTTGTATTTAATTATAATTAAGTCACAGCCTATATGTGCAATTTATAGACTATAATGATTTAATACAACTAAATGTTTTTTTAAATGCTGAGCCCTTTATGTCCATACCAGCCTATTGTGTTGCACTCGAAAATGCTTCACAATGTATTTCTTTGTAGATTATAGCCTTGAAATAATTGAAATAATATAGCCTAAATAATACATTTTCGTTCCTTCTTAGGCTTCCTGTCTGGCTCCTGCCCTATTTAGAGTGTTTATATGCTGTTTAATATGACATGTAGCCTATTTGAAATGATGAGTGCCCCTTACAGTCACCTTTTTCTGTTGTTTATTAAAACCATTTTCATTAAAATCATATGGTTTGGTTTCAATACTTGGAGCAGCAGTTTTTATTTCCTGTGAGCGCTGAGCAGTTTTTTTTTATAGCGGAGCGGTTGGAAAGGACGTGGAGCTCCATGAGTGGGATATTCCCGACCTCTCAACTCAACTCCGCTCACATGCTCTGACCGTGAGGTGAGCAGGACAGGACAGCTGACTGTGTGCTGCCGGGGGCTGCCACCTGCCTTGTGTCCCAAACCAAACCCATTCCAATTTTGGGGTACTTTTTGACCCGGGACAGTAGTCCAATAGTTAATAGGAAAAACCCGTTTTGGGAAAACCTGAACCCGGGTCCTTTTACAACAAGCAAGACTTATACCCTTTTTAAAAAAAACCTAGAGGAAAAAGAGGGAAAAAAAGGAAAAAAGAAGAAAGAGAGAGAACGTAAAGGGGAAAACGAGAAGAGAGAAAGACGAGAGAGAACAGAGGAATAGATTTTCCCATCTAGACGAATTTAAAAAAAAAGAAAAAATAGATCGTCTAATTTATAAATTTTTAATCTCTTTTTTTTTTTTAAAAAAAATTTTTTTTTAGCCCTTTTCTCCCCATTTTTTTTCCCCTTTTTTTTTCCTTCTTTTTTCCCCCATCTTTAAAGTTCTCTTTCCCTTTTCTCCCCCTTCCCTTTTCCCCTTCCCTTTTTTCTCTCTTCTCTCCTCCTCTCTCTTTCTTCCTCTCCTCTTCTCCCTTTCCCCTAAACTTCCTTTTCCTCTCTTCTCTCTCCTCCCCCCTTTTTCTTTCTCTCCCCCCCTCCCCTCTCCTCTCCCCTTCCCCCTCATCTTCTTCCCTTCCCCTCTCCTTCTCCCACCTCCCCTTCGCTCCCTTTCCTTTTCCCCCTTTCCCCTTTTTCCTTTCCAAAACCCCCTTCCCCCCCTTTTCCCCTCTCCCCCCTTTTTTTTTTTCCCGGGTTTTTTTCCCCCCTTTTTTCCCCCTC